GGTTGGGAGCTGGTTCTACCGAGAGCAACGCCGCCTCCTCATCTGCGCCCTCGACCTTAGGAGCATCCTCGCAGGTCTCATCTAGGAGAGCCACTCACCGCCGACCCACTCCTCAGGCCACCCCAGCTACGACCCAGGCAGATCCGACCCCTGAATGGGCCAGGAGGATCGTGGAGCAGCAGGATACCATCCTGCAGAGGATGTTCGAAATCGGACAGCAGCAGGCATCCCAGGCGGAGAACTTTGCTCAGCTTCGGAGGACATTTACTAGCTTTTACTCGGATGTGCACATCGGGCTCACCCCACGTTCTCCTGAGGGCGACGATCCATCCGCCTCAGTTCCTCCCCCTTCGTGATCTTCATATTATTTTCTATTGAGAACTTTTATTTCTTTTCGTTTATGAGCAGGAATTAATGATCAACTGGACTTGTTGGAACTTCTTTGTAACGCCCCGAAACATACCCTAGAATTATTATTAAATAATTATTCGATTAAACAAATTTGTTTTGATTATTATTGTGCTTTGGGCCGATATGAAATATTTTTTAATATCCAATATCAAAATCTGGATAAGTCTAATCGAGATAAATCCAATATGTGGACTATTTGTGTGGTCTTGATTGGGAACCTGAGTGCAGACCCAAATCAAGAATAAATAAATTAATTAATTATGATGTGAACTTTGTAATGATTTATTGAAATAAATCATGAGAATAATTGATATGAATTAAATGAGAGAACCTTTTATGAGAAAGGTCAATTAAACCAATTTTGACTCTGTTACAAACACCCAAAAATATGATGTCGGAAAAAGTATTACAAATAATTATGAAAAGTATATCGTTGGATAGAGCTCGACTGTCTGATCGCAACGGTGCAAATGGATTTCAATTTGGAGAAAGTTGGACCAAAAAGTGTACCCCGACTGGAACCAAAATAGGTCCCAATCAGGGAACTGTTTAGACGGCGCCTCCTTCCCCACTACGCCGATCGCAGAGTCACCTTCTTCTCTCCTTCTCATTATATAAGAAAACCCAACCTTCTCATTTCTTCACCATTCTTCTTCATTCTTCTTCCTAAATGTTCATGAAAGTGTGAGGAGTGTTGTGGTGCTGTCAATTTGGTGTGAAGTCGCTGGAGTTGGGAGAAATACTCGCCGGAAGTTTCGCCGGAAAATATCCAAAACCTCCATTAAGCTTCGAGGTAAGCCCGTAGATATATCTAATGACTAGAATGTTCATATAGGTCGTTTCTACGTTCATAAATGGTCATTTGGTTGAGTTTTGTGTTTGACATGCTTGAAGAACTAAGAATCATAAACCATGAAATTGATGTTAAAATTACGAATTAATGATGCTAAAATGATCCATGAACCTTGGAGAACATTTTTATATACTTTAATTGAAGTTTGGTGAGTAAAAGTGACATTTCCGGAAGTTGGCTCGAGGTAGAAGACGATGGATAATCGATTATCAACTTGAAAATCGATTATTCATCGTTCTGCAGATTTTTGTAACAAAGCTGAGCAACAGTTGATTATCAGAATGTGATAATCGACTGTCAGCCCTCTCTGAAGTTTGATAATCGATTATCAGAGTGTGATAATCGATTATCAGCCCATTCTGAACATCAGACAGTAGATTATCAGAAGTGACAGTAGACTGTCTCCCTACACTATTGAAGAAAATAAAGCTAATAGCTAATAATTGAATTTCCTATCATATGTTAATCAATTTTTATTTAGAAAACATGATTTTTGAGTTATGGAATCCTATATTTTGATACCAAACCATTATGATTAATAAAAGGATGATTTCTTGGAATAAAGATGGTGTTTTAACAACTGAAAGGGATCTTATGTGATGCATGACGGTAAGCTAGGGTGTTAACACTCGATGCTAGGCCGCTGATTGTTATTAGATTGTTCATTTGATGAATATTATGGATTATTAAATGATTGTTGAACTAAGAATATGAATTGATGAATAATGTTGTTAAGGATATCTAGAAGAACTCTAAAGATATACCCACTTGTATAATGATGATGAATATTAAGGATATCTAGAAGAACTCTAAGATATACCTCCTTGACCAATTCATATTTCGGGGTTAAAACGCACGTACAGGATCCAGAACGGATATCACCCACCCGACAAATCATTGTTCGGTTTGTACGTAATCCACACGACTCATAGGGTGGATTATCGATTCTTGTGTTCTGCATTAAACTATTTATAGTTTAAGGGCCTGGTTAGAAATGTTGCCTTAGACTAGAAATAGCTAAGAGCTTGTTATAAAATGATTTGGCCTTAGATTAAGAATAATTTAAGAGCATGGTTGAGATATTGAATATCAAATGACTTGGAATAA